AGCGCACATCAACCAGTAGAGAAACGGAATAAAATTAAAGAGTAAATGAGTTAAAAAAGAATTCTTTGTTGTCTTACTTGGGAGCCCTTGTGGTGTGGTTAGTTATGCCAGTGGCTGCCACCTAGCAGTTTGGCTAGCCCAGATCAGGTTTTCTGCTCCTGTAAAGATTTACAGCCTCAGAAACAGTAGCCAAGTTCTACTCTATCTTACAGTTCAACTTGGTGGCAGTAGACCTTTTTTTGGTGTGTGTGTGTTTTGTTGTTATATTAACTTTCTTTTTAACAACATATTTTGTGGGTATCCCAGGCTAACTACTTGGGTGTCATTAGAAAAACTCCCTGATTTCTTTGTCCAGCCATTAGTTCGTGTGTAAAATGCAAATGATCCTCTTTTGTTTGTTTTAAACTAACTCGAGGAGAGTTGTGAAGGCAAAATCAGAACATGCATGCATTTTTTTTCAAAGTTATCTATTTTTAAGTGAGGTCTGTTTTATGCCTATTGGAGCTTTATTTATTTTTTCAATTTCAATATATTGTGACCCATCTGTATCAGAGTCATTGTATGCTCCCCAGAGTTTTCTTTTTTAAAACTTAAAACAAAGGTTTACTGGCAGAATTCACATATCACACAGCTTAATTGTTCAATCACATTAAGAAGGGTTGTGCGGTCATCACCATAATTTCAGACCATTTTATTTTCTTTGTTGTTGTGCAATCATCACCCCAAACAGTTTAAGAACATTTTTAATTGATTCTTTTTAGCTTCCTATTTCCTCACAACCTCCCCTGCCTTGCTCGTAGGTAATTATTAATCCAGTTACCATCTGCATAGATTTACCTATGAGTGCCAAATACAGATACTCGTACAAAACATAATAAGGAAGCAAACAAACCAGTAAACAGAAAACCAGCAACAATGTTAAAACAAAGCAGTAAAACTGTAAAGAAATGAGAAAATATTAAAAACTAAAACAACTTTAAAATAGGTTAAAAGGGAAATCAAATAATAAGGTGTTACTTTTTAAGCTAACTACATCTGCCATAATCCACTTTACAATTCTCTCTGTTTGATACATCCCTAGGCTATGGTCAGAAGGAGCTAACTGGACCTTTGACCCATGTGGGGACCCGGAAAATAGATTTTGGGCTTCCACTGTCATCTTTGGCCTTCTGCACACCCGTTCAGAATTTAAGCTCTGATATCAATATTTTTTTAATTGAAGTTTGCCTTTATATGTCTTTGAAGATTATTCAGCCAACGATGAAGTATGAAGAGATAGAATGTATGCCATTATTTAAATTAAATTATGCCATTAAATTAAGTATGCCGTTATTTTAATCAGTTATTTTTCACCTATACTAAGAATAGGTTATTTTAGAGTCATTGGTTCTATTTTTAAAGACTTGTAAAGTTATTTTACAGTATTATTTTTCAAGGATTATACAATAGCTTGATAGTTGTTTTCTAGAATAAACAAATGGATAAATAAAAGAAAAATAGAAATAAACTAAGGAAAGAAAATGGATTAACGGGGAAAAAATAACCATACTAAGTTGTGTGACAGTGGCTTTAGATTGTTTTAGAAAAATGTTATAGCCTCAGCTCTTTTGGTTTTAGATTTTATTGCCAGCCAAAATATCTCTGATCTAAAAGTTGAGAGAGAATTGGAGATGATACAGTACATTTTGTAAAGTCACTCACAGAGAAGGTTTATAGTTAAGACAGGTGAGACATAAGGAACTTTCCTTTCTTTTCTATGGATATGACTATTCAAATTCTCTTACTGTTTTGAAATTTTCCCATAATTGCATCCTCACACTTTGGGTTCTTAAGCGAATAGACACTGCCTAGTCTCTCGACGTCTTAGCAGGCTGGCAAATTTCTAAAACAGACCTTCCAGTTTAAGGATAGAAGAGAACAATCCTCAAATGCAAATCTACCTCTTTTTAAGTATTTCATACTGGTAATGTCTGTGGCAATTTTGGTAGGGTAAAGAGTACTTACAAAAAGATTACCTCCTATAGTCCATTGAGCGTGTTTCTTGATTAGGTGTGAGGGAAATGAAATTTTTGTGGGGAGAGCTATCTTCTTTGCCAGGTATGCAGTAGGTGAGTTTTGGTCTTTTTATGTGCCGTTGGTAGGTTGGATTTTTGTTTTTGATGACTTTTCCTGCCTGAATTTAATTTTTGAGTTGCTATAAGTTACCTCCATTTCCTTTTGTCCCAAGACAATCAAGCTGAAACAAGAACAATATTTCATTTTGATACTTCTTGCAGAATAACTTCGTTGGAGAAAGGGAACAGTCACACACCAGAGCAGGTTCCGAAGTTTTGGTGTGCACACGTATCATTGATACAGTCTGACACAATTTCTAATTGTTCCCGAGGGTCTGCAGCTGCTAGTCCTTGGTAGCCTCACTTGATATTTTTTTTCCATCTCTCAGGATTTCAGGAAATCTCTCAAGATGTCAGGAATGCGAAAGGAGCTATGTAAATCTTATGTCCTTGTACTCTAAGACCTATTTGTAAGCATAAGAGACATTTCTAGTGATCCTGAACTTCAGGGTGTAAATTATTGATTAAAATGATCAGACGCTATCTCAACATTAGAACATTGTCACACATATTCCTATCATTCCTTCCCTCACTGAACTATGATTCTAGGAACACAACAAAGAACTGAACAGACTCCTATTTCTTCTCTCCCTCAATAGCTTGCTACATTGGTGGGGTGAGATAGAGAATTTAGAAAGTGTTGGGTTTTACATGGTGACAATCACTGATGGGTAAATGGAAGCTGAGAAGGAAAAGAGGGACTCTTAAAGAGCTATGATTTCAAAGAATTGGGTAGGGCTAATTTGACTGAAAGATTGAGTGAAGCTGTCAATGAAGAGAGGACAAAAGGAGTGGTTGCTCTCTGAGAGGTGGGGGCAGAGAGGAGGGGTTGCAGGTCAGGAGATTACTGGTCCACAGGCAGGACCTCGTCCCATGGTGTTCACCAAAGACTTCTTTTCTTGATGGAAGAAATAAGGTCATCATCAAAATGCAATGGACGCAAATTTCCCTGGAATAGATCATGTGATATCTAAAGAATATGAGCTTTTCTATTATTATCCCTTTCTCTATTTTATTATTTTCTCTTTTTCTTTTTTTAAAGATCTGTCAGAA